ATATATATATATATATATGGTACAATTTAAAGTTTTTTCTTTTATTTGTAAAGTTGTACTTGATAAAAATAAACAAATAAAATTGAACATTTTGAATATTTATTGATTATTATGATAAATTATATAAAATATATACAAAGTATAAGTATTTTGCAAAAACACTTTTATTTGCAATATCTGCTTTAAAACATTGTGGCATTCTTGCAATTTATTTTTTATCGTTTCTGTCAACTCTGGATTATTATGCCAGATCTCGATAATCTCTTCCATAAAATCTTGCTTATTAGTAAGATTTTTTTTCCAATTTCTTGCTTTATTATTTCCCAAATGTTTTCTATGGGGTTAAGATCATGCGAGTTGTCTGGCCATAGCAATACATCAACTAAGCCATAACAGTTTTGATTGTGTGGCAAGTTGCATAATCTTTCATAAATATAAGATTTTTGACATTTGTTTTAATATTTTTGAATTTTTTTGTCATTTTTTGACATTTTAGGCTGGACATCAATCCCTCTTCTTTTAGCCTTCTACAAATGGTCCGGTCTGACACAACAATTACAGCTTCATGGATCTTGCGTTTAGAAGGTGGTCTCCTTAGACCAAACTCTTCCCCTGTATAAATTCATTTTCTTACTTGCATTACGGTTTGGTAAGAAACCTTTTGCGTTGGGTGAGAAACCTTTGGTAAGAAACCTTTGTGCAATTTTTCATTAAGAATAATTTGCGTTTTGTAAAAGACATGTTTATCAATTTATGTTACTATGATATTAATAACAATGTATAATGTAGGTTGTTGACCAATGGTTTATAATCAAAATTTAATATGGCTGACGGTAAAGGTAAAGAGAAGTTTAAAGGAACAAACATTAGGTATTTACTTGTAAGTTAAGTGTAAAATTATATCTTTTTAAAAATCACAGTTCGTTTTTTTAATGCTATTTTATTTTTAACTTTTTGATGTATTTGATGAAAATTACTCAGGCAATACCTTTTTTATATAGAGAGTTTTGTCAATTAAAGTGACTGCTACAGTTGCCGAAATAAGAAAAGGAATAATGACTTTATTAAAATACGCACTAGACAGATCAAATGGTGGTCGGCGCGTAAAAGGCGATTAACCCGATGTATAACATTCATACTTTTTCCTAGTTGTTCTGGAACTATTGATAATAGTTATTATTGATAAATTAATAAATATATAACTGATAAATAAAACTTTTTTCAAACATTTTATTTTTTTGCATTGTATATAAAGTCCTTTGAAGCAATTTAGTTGTATCTGATTAACTTACGTGAAATATAATATCCTCTGCGCAAATTATTGCTTTTTTATTGTGTTATTTTATTGCAATTAAAGTTGAGAAAATTTTTTAGTTAATTGGATTTAACCAAAATAAAAAACAAAAATCAACGTTGAATTTACGTTGTTTCAACGTTGTTTTAACGTCTTATCAACTACGTATCAATCGAATATATCACCCATTCAAAGTTGAAATATGGTTAATATGTAGTCGATAAGACGTTAAATCAACGTTGAAACGACGTAATCATCGACGTTGTTTCAACGTCGTAGTTTTCGACGTCGGATTTTATTTCCAATTCAACCAAATTTTAACGTTGTTTCAACGTGGCATATGGTCGGTTTACGACGTTGTTTCAACGTTATTTCAACGTCATTGTGCCGGCTGGGAAAACACCAATAAACGTGGCGAAAATGTTTTGCGTGTGTGTCACGATTTTGATACTGTTCTCGCATAATTGGTCCTAATAAGCTACGGATAGTCTTAAAAAAAAGGTCCTAAAACCTAATAAGGAAAAAATTTGATAAAACCGTCCTGCTACTCCACATGGTATTGTAGTGGAGGCAGGGAAAAAAAAAGCAATTAAAAGGTTTTTTGTTATATTTAATTTTTTGCTATAAATATAGCCAGATTAAAAAAATTTAAAAAAATGTATTGAGATTTTTTAGGCGCGGATTTGAAGCCTTGCACAGCGACTCTGATGACTGCGCACTTAACTTGTGAGCTATCAAAGTTATGCATGTAGTTAGGTGCTTCAACATTTTTTTAAAAATGTAAAATGAAAACAAAATAAATACCATAAGTAAGAGCTAAATAATAACGTTTAAAAATTACCAAACTTTTTGTTATAATATTATTAATTCTTCAACTTTTAAACCACAAAATTTATAATTTATTTTTTTGCATGACTTTTGACGCTTTAAACGACTAACGTTTTAAAGAATTGCATTACCGTTTCCGTCTAATACAAAGATAACTATAAAAGACCGTTATTATTCAAAACTAAGCATATAATAATAATAAATATAGTAAACTATTGAATATGGCTAGGACGCGACCATAAACCATGGTCCATGGCTGGTCTAAAAGTAGGAAGTAGTTTAGTTCAGAATTTAAAAAAAAATAAATAAATAAACGGGGTTTAATAAGCTATATACGAATGCGGAAAAAGTGCGTATGTTAAAGTTTTTTTTTGCTCTTAAAGCAAATTTTTTTAATGAATTTTTTTCCACAGTTTACTAAAAAATATTGAAGTAAATAAAGAACAAGTAAAGAATTGATTGGCGTGGTATTGATAAATATAGAAGTAGAAGAAAAGACCTGTATTTACCGATACGGACAGCTAGATTAAGAAAATAAGGCAAAAGGTTTGTGTGGAATAGACTTACAAAGACCCGTATTTTTACGGGTCAACTCAGCTAGTATATAATAATAGTAAGGATATTTTACAGGTATATATATATATATATATATATATATATATATATATATATATATATATATATATATATATACATATATATATATATATATATAACCGACAAACATGCTTTCAGCGGACCGCGATGCGCAAAACCGCTGCCGGAAACCCGGTGCTGGCCCTTTGTGATTCCTAATGCGGCTTACCGCTGCCGGGTAGCTGATGCAGGACCGGCATGCTACTTTCCGCCATCGGTTGAAGAGTGATAAAACACCTCGTTGCCAATGCGCTTTTAAATAGGCATGCCAGCTTTGGTAAGTTTATGACGATACGTTGTAGTTTTGCCAACACAATGCCCGAGTTGGCTCCCGGATACCGGTAAGATGTCGTTAAAACACCAAAAGTAAGCAGCATTTGAAGCGCCATAAGACTTAGATTGATCGATTCTTATATTTTATATTGTATTACATAGTCTATGTAAAACAGTAAGTAATAAATAAAAAGAATTAAAAAAAAATCAAAGTAGTCTTTTTATTTTGAAGTCTAACAATATAGGTTATATATATAAATTTATATTAAATCTACATCTATACTTAGTATATATATATATTATATATATATATATATATATATATATATATATATATATATATATATATATATATATATATATATATATATATATAAACTACATATAAATATAAATTATAAATATAGATTTAAATATAAAATATTGTAATATAATATAAAGTATAGTATACTTCATATTACATTATAATATATGATATTTATATCTACATTTATAATTTATAAATATAGATATAGGTATAAAACCATGTAACCTTCAATATTTATAAGCAATAATTATAGCTATATTTTATAATATAAAGCATTACTTTATAAAGTATTACTTTATATTATAAAATATAGCTATAATTATTGCTTATAAATATTAAAAGTTAAATGGTTTTATACCCATATCTATACTTATAAATTATAAATGTAGATATAAATACCAATATATTATAATATAATATAAAGTATACTATACTTTATATTATATTACAATATATTATATTTATATCTATATTTATAATTTATATCTATACTGATATATTGTATCTATATCTATACTTACTGTAGATTACTATATATTATATCTATATCTATACTTAGTATAGGTACATATATATATATATATATATATATATATATATATATATATATATATATATATATATATATATATACATATATATTATATACATTTTTAAATATGCACCAGCTTTAGTAAATAAAACAGTTTATGTAAGTTTCAATAGTGAGCTTTTAGACAAAACGATGAAAGATATTAGCTATTGAATATTGCCTAAAAGATCTTACCAATAAATCAAGCATTTCACATTCATCAGATGAAATGCAATCATTGTATTTAAAGAGTATATCAGGTCGAAAACTTTGAACTGAGAGTGCTATTCCCATAGGTGCAAATAATTTTGATTGTGATGTGAACTCTGACAGTAATCTAAAAATTTCTGATTCTGAATCTTACACATTAGAGTCATCAGATTCTGAAACAATTGATAATGGTAACATTGAAGAACTAAAAAATGATTTGATGCAGTGGGCAGTTAAGTTTGCTATAACTGATGAAGCATTAGCATCTTTGTTAAAAATTTTGGGTAAATTGTTTCCTGAATTGCCAAAGGATCCATGCACTCTACGTCAAAGTCTTTTGTACCTAATACTAATATAACTGGAGGAGCGTATTGCCATTTTGGTATTAGACAAGGTATTTTAAGTATTATTTCAATTTTTTTTAAAGAAAAAGGATTGTATATCAATTCAAGTCTACATTGATGATTTATCTTTGTTTAAAATCAGCAATGGCTACTTTTGGCCAACTTTAGGTTTAATAAAAAATGTGGATAAACATTATTCAACACCATGAAACCCCATTTATAGTCAGTCTTTTTTATAGTAGGTCTAAACCAAAAGACCGTAATAAATTTCTAAAAATGTTTGTTAATGAAAGTATTGCTTTACTTGATTCTGGTATTAGTATTAATGGTAAAACATATAAGTTTGCTATATCAGCTTTTAGTTATGGTAGCTAGATCATTTATAAACAGAAATAAAGGACATAAAGCCTTTAATAAATGTTATGCAATATTTAATGGCCTTAATTTGATTTTTTATTAATTTTTAAAAAATAATTTTTTAGTATATATTTTACTGATGCTTTTTCTATGTTTTTTGTAGATAATAACTGACTGTGGCAAGTAAAGGAGGCTAGACTTTAAAGGAGGCTGTCCGGAGAATGTCCTTTGCGTTATTCACTAATAACTTCTGCTGTAAACTTAACTGGTCTGGTATTACCAGAAATGACAATGAAAGTAACTTCGTAAAACAAAGTCTAAAAGACTTACACTTGCTTAAAAGTAATGTTTTTTGGAGGGGCTTATTACTCTAATTTAATAATTACTTGTATCTAATTTAGTAATTACTAATCTATTTGTTAATAAATTGTTGATAAATAAAAAAAATTTATTTATCAACTATTTATTAATAAAAAAATTTATTTATCAATCTATTTATTAACTATTTATAAATAAAAAGTTAATAAATAGATAAATAAAATTTGTAAATAAATAGCTTTAAAAAAAATTCTATATATTTCTGAAATTAAGTTTAAAAATATGTTTTTGTTTTCCTGCTAGATAGTTAAATAAAAGTCTTAAAATAATTTTTAGGAGCTGTAAAAAAAAAATCCTGCAACAACTTCAGCAACTGAATCAGATTTTCAATATGAGGTTGTGCGTTTTTTGCGTGGTGCATCAGACTGCACTGGCGGACAAAAAGTTAGGCAAGACAAAAAAAACAAACAGGCCAAGAAAAAAGTGATGCCTACTTCAAGATTAATTTTATTATTTTAATATTATTTGTTTTAATGTTGTTTTTGAAAAAAAAATCCAAAATATAAGTTCTGGAGTCTGTCTACTGTTTGATTCGTTTGATTATATTAAATATAAGTACAACTTTAAGCTTTAAAACGTAAAGTTATTGATGGAAAGCTAAATTGGTATTTAACCTAACTTGGTATTTAACCGGTAAATCAGATAAATAAAAATTTAACAAAATTTTTTTTTTACAAGCCATTATTTTAAAGGATTGCTTTAACAATACCGTTAAAACATGCTTGTAATTTAATGTTACATTTATGATTTAATATTTCTTTAGAGGAAACTGTTTACCTCAACCAAAATTATATTTTATAGAATTATGTTGACCATGATCCAAGTATTGCCATGGGTATAAGATAGTTGTTTGATTTGCGAACTGGATTTAAATCATATTTCTTTAAACATTTATTTGCTCTTTATATGCTTACAAATAATTTATTAAAAAAAATTATATACTTTTTTACTAAACCGTTTTATTTCAATCAATTAATTGACTTTTTATATTTTTCAAGGAATTTTTATAGTATATTATATTGCATTATGTTTTTTTTTTTTTGTATGGTGAAAACTATGTTCAATGTGCAAACTATATTTTAATTTATCAAAATATATTTTTATTGATGTGTTTTGTCTCTGATTCTTTCTTTTTCAGATGTGCACTTGTGTTTTAGGCTAATGGTTTGCAAAAGGTTCACCATTGCCATTAAGTTGCTGTCGGTTTTAAAGTTTTACTTCCAACCTGGCATATAAGTATCTCATTTTTAAATACTATTTTATTTGTTAAATTAAAATTAAAAATCAAGATAATTTTTTTTAATGAAATAACAATTTTTTTTTTATTGTTTATAAACCCCTCAAGCATATTTATAGGATTAGGTATACCAGGTATGTTAATGTATATGAAGTTTTATTTTTTAAAAAAGGCACGCAATATGACTTTATTTTTATATAGCTTATTTTTAAAGTTATTTCCATAGCTTTTCAATTTAAGCAATGTTTTTGTTATTTTTATGTTTTATATTATGCTTAAATAATAAAATTGAATTTACATTTTTTTAATGTAGATGCACTTAGTATCTGAAGTTATTTGTCAATAACTGGTGATCAGACTATTTCAAACAAACACGTTATTAAGGGCTGAAAAGGTTGGATTATTATGTTTGTTGTAATAGCTCTAAACTTGACTGTTTCAATATTTTCATTAAATATCATTGCCTGCTTTTAGGTGAAAGTTAGAAGTCTGCAGACTGCAACGTAAATCAATTTTCAACACACGGTTTCCTGAATATATTTAGTTTTCGATTGAAATTAGAATAAACTGAACTAATTGATATGTTGAAAATTAACTATTTTATATTTTAAACGTTCGCTAAACGCAAGTAAAGCAATAATCTATAGATGCAAATATATTTTATATTTTGTTTTAGTTTAAAAAGAATTTATTGTTACTTTTATATTCATGTTGTAATTGTATATTGCAATTTTAAAATGATTTTCATTATAACTTCTGATTAGTCTTTTTGCTTACCGAGCTTAAGCCTTGCCACGTATGACCTAATGATTTACAATTGGGGTAGTGTTTTTCGGTAATAGGAGGATTTTAGTATAATAAATTCGTATTTTGTCTATATACCTATGCACAAAGTCAAAAGGTATTTGATGTGTCTTCCATACATTCGCAGGATTTGCATTTTTTTCATGAGTAAAAATTTGGGCTGCAAGATATAAAGATTTTTGCTAACGATAAGTGCGTTCTATTCAAACAAAAATCCAATAATAATTATATGTATA